GCCCCCAGCTATAGCCCCGCCCCCAGCTATAGCCCACCCCAGCTGTAGCCCCCCCAGCTAAATAGCCCCGCACCCAGCTATATCCCCCCCCCGCTGTAGCCCGCCCCTACCCGTTTTCTGATGGCAGCAGAGCCTCCAGCGGCGAATTCTCATGGAGAGAGAGAGAGAGAGAAAGAAGGGGTGAATGTCAGAGGGAGGATGAGAGTTAATGCAAAAAGCGGTTGATATCTTTGAGATTAATGCAGAATTAGGGATATTTTGCGCTGATGCACTTTAAACCCCGGGGATCCGGGGACTTTCAAACCCTTTTCCCGTGTTTGCACCCGGAGAGCGGGTTATTATTGAAACACAAAGTCAATGCAAAACCCCATTGAGATCATGGGAATAATGAGGAATGAGGAAGGTTTCGCACTGATGCAAACCCTCTTCCCGCGTTTCTGCAGAGCTTTTGGGGTCAATTGACCTCAATTCGTATTTTAAGGTGAATTAACATTTAAAATTAATAATCTCAGCCCCAGAAGTCGCGCGAGGGTTTTGTTTGTTTTAAGCGCGAAAAATAATTGAAATGAAGATTTTTTTCCCCCGGGATTATGAACCGTCACCAGGAGAGAAGGTGTCGGGGCTCGAACTCGCGGCCCACGAGTCCGGGTGGGAGAGGGGCAGCGTCTGCGCACGCGCGGCGTGGCTGTCGGTGACGTCACCAGGGAGCCCGGGCGGGAGGGGCAGCGACCGCGCGAGACTTCCGGAGAAACCGGTGGATTAAACCCCAATGTATAAGGACATGAAGCGCGTTATGAACTCCCGGATCCCCGGAATTTTCAGTGCATCGGTGCAAAACATTCCCAATTCTGCACTAATACCAAATATATCAACAGGAAAGAGAAATGCGCGCGAGGCGGAGGATCAGAGGCGTTCAGCGGGGAAGGAGGCCATTCCGACCATTGCGCCTGAGCCTCAGTTACCCGCTCCCTCCCCGGCCTTCCCCCGCACCCCCACCATCACGCACCGCCCCATCCTCGGTCGCATGATAATGCGTCCGTCCTCTTGGCTTCTCGGGGGTTAGGAGGTGGCGGGGGGGTTGGTAGGGGATAAGAAGGGGCGGGGGTTTGGTAGGGGGTTAGGGGTGGTGCGGGGGGGTTGGTAGGGGTTTACGAGGGGTGCGGGAGTGTTAATAGGGGACAGGAGAGGGCGGGTGGGGGGTTGGGGCTATTGGTAGGGGTTAGGAGGCAGCGGGGGAGGTTGGTAGGGGGTTAGGAGGGGGACGTATGGTTTGGTAGGGGGTTAGGAGGCGGAGGGAGAGTTTCTTAAAGGGATAGGAGGCGGCAGGGATGCTGATGGGGGTTTGGAGGGGCCCGGGCGGGTAGGTAGGGGGTTAGGAGGGGACAGGAGTGTTGGTAGGGGTTAGGAGTGGGAGACGGGGTTGGTACGTGTTTAGGAGGAGGGGCGGTGATGGTAGGTGGTCAGGAGGGGGTGATGGGGGAGTTGGTAGGTGGTTAAGAGGGGGTGACGGGGTTGGTAGGTGTTTAGCAGACGGTGGGGATTTTGCTACGGGGTTAGGAGGGTCGGGAGATTTGATAGCGGTTAGGAGGGGGGCGGGGGTTGTAGGGGGTAGAGAGGGCGGTGGGTTAGTAGCGGTAGGGAGGCGGGGGGGTTTGGTAGGGGTTAGGAGGGGCGGGGGTGTTGGTAGGGGTTAGGAGGGGCGGGGTGTTGGTAGGGGGTTAGGAGAGGGCGGGGGTGTTGGTATGGGTTAGGAGGGGGCGGGGGTTTGGCAGTGGGTGAGGAGGGGGCGGGGGTTGGCAGGGGTTAGGAGGGGGCGGGGGTGTTGCAGGGGTAGGAGGGGGCGGGGGTGTTGGTAGGGGTGAGGAGGGGGCGGGGGTTTGGCAGTGGGTGAGGAGGGGGCGGGGGTTGGAGGGGTGAGGAGGGGGCGGGGGTGTTGGCAGTGGGTGAGGAGGGGGGGGGGGGGGGGGGGGCGGGGGTTGGCAGTGGGTGAGGAGGGGGCGGGGGTGTTGGAGGGGGTGAGGAGGGGGCGGGGGTTGGCAGTGGGTGAGGAGGGGGCGGGGGTTTGGCAGTGGGTGAGGAGGGGGCGGGGGGTTGGCAGTGGGTGAGGAGGGGGCGGGGGTTGGCAGTGGGTGAGGAGGGGCGGGGGTTTGGCAGTGGGTGAGGAGGGGGCGGGGGTTGGCAGTGGGTGAGGAGGGGGCGGGGGGTTTGGCAGTGGGTGAGGAGGGGGCGGGGGTTGGCAGTGGGTGAGGAGGGGGCGGGGGTTGGCAGGGGGGGGGGGGGGGGGGGGGGGGAGGGGGCGGGGGTTGGCAGTGGGTGAGGAGGGGGCGGGGGTTGGCAGTGGGTGAGGAGGGGCGGGGGTTGGTATGAGTTTAGGAGGTGGGCTCTGGGAGAAGGACATTTGGAGACGGGGTATAACGAGCGCAGCTCTCGGGAGAGCAAAACAAGAGCAGTGCGACTCCAAGAGGGAGACAGTGAGTCCCGGATCAGAGATCAGAGGGTCACCATAAGTGTGTGAGTCTATCACTGAGCTTCTGGGGCTCCAGAGAGGAAAGAACAAGAACGGCTGCGGCTGATTCCTTTACACCGGTAGTGTGAGTATCTCTTAACTGCTGTAACCCGTGTGTTTTTAGTATAATATAGTCAATTATAATCGTTCTACTTTGATATGATCATCGGATTCTACTATTGCTTATCGAACCATTTACCTTTCTCTGTATTGTGTGATTGATATTAACTGTTGGAGATC